CCTGGCCGAGCCACGCCAGCCGCCTTCTTGCCCTTCTCATCCCGAGCACCAAAGTTTTTGGGTTCCTTGAAATTTGCATTTGCATTAGAACAAAGAAAAGGAAGATACAAAGACTAGCCACTCACACTTTCCTCCCTAAGTAAGGAGACAAAAGTTGGAGGGACATCATCACACCAAACATTTTTCCAAACAAAATTCCCCTCAAGCGCTCTACTAGCACAAAAGTCGGCTGCCCTATTACAGCATCTAGGCACCCTCATAAAAAGCACTTGCGTAAAAAGAGACAAAAAGGAGAGGTCCGGCCCATCACGGCAGCGATGCATACTATGGTCGGGATGGCGAAGCTGCTGAAGCCACTCAATAATATTGGAGCAATCGCCCTCAATGATAATACCCGCACGGTCCATCATCCAATCCTCAAGGACATCCTTAATAGTGCAAGCCGCCAGGAGCTCAGCAGTGGCAACGTCCCAATGTTCAATCTGTTGGCCGGTAGCCACAATCAAGTTGCCACAATGGTCACGGACCACAAGGCCCAATCCAGCAAGGTTCGACGAGAGCAAGGAAGCATCAAAATTGAACTTGAGCCAATTTGGAGGGGGGACACACCATAAAAGGGGATCGGGCAGCCGAAGTGGCTGATTGGTGTGCCATGGCTCCACAACAGGCATCAAGTGAGTTTTAGGAATCGCTCCCAGGACCGTAGCAGCCGCAACCGCCGGTGATCCCCAGCTACGGCCATGCTTCTTGTTATTTCGGGCACGCCATGCATGATAGACAGCCGAGCAATAAATTTTACCCAAGCCAGGATTACACCCAGCCAGCTCCTCAAGGATCCGAAGCATGTCATCAAAAGAGGTAGCAGCCGGCATAGTATAGCCCCACCGATCCAGCTGCATAAGAATGGACTTCAAAAATCTGCAAGATACAGTGCAATGGTCCCGATTTTCATCCTCATTGCAGCCCCATGGACACCGACCGCAATCTTCCAGGTTTCTTCTCAAAAGCCAAACATTGGTGGGGATGGCATCGCGAAGAAGTCTCCACCAAAACATGTTCTCCCTTGGATGCAGTTTGAATTTCTTAATCCACAAGAAAGCGTACGCCGTACCACCCAATCGGGCACGGTAAGCCAAAGAGGTCACCGTCCGACCCCCATGCAAGTTCATGAGCTCGGGCTGGTCACCCCCTCCCGAATCACAAATGGGAATGGCCAGAATACGCTCAGCCATATCATCACCAAAGTAATTTCGAAC